GACAATAAAAAGTAAAAAACGTTTGAAGCTTGTAGTTCACAGCGTATTTAGGTCTGTCATTGGTAGTAAAATATTTAAGTCAATGGTTGTTTTAGAATTGCTGCAAGATAAGTTCACATTTTTTTCGGTTTGTGAAGTTTCTTACTGGTTTTTCTACTCTTCAGACCAGGAGGGTTCGGTGTTTTGGTTGAGAAGTTGGCTTTTTTCTTCTTGGTATCGGAAAAGTGTCTCTTTTTAAATGCGGAGTCTCACATTGTTACGGGGTCACAGCTGTAGTGTTTCGTGTTAGTGATGTTGGAGGAGCAAGCTTTTAGTCTTCTGGGGAATTTGATGAAGTCAAGTGCATTTAAAGTTCCTAAGGTCCAAGCGAATGTTGAAGGGGAGTTTTCTAACGATTGCAACTGGTTTTTTTGAGGGTTCATTTCGCTCTGAAGTGTTGAAGATGGCTTATTAAAAGTTCTAAGGCCGCAATGAGAACAGCAGAACAGCAAGCCATTATTTGCAGCAAATATCAAACTTTTAAAAAGTTTTACTGAGCATATAATCCGAGCTGATTTCTCGAGAAGTGAAGAGAACATGAAGTTTATAATTTTATGAATTGCGTAACTTGTGGTCTGCTTTGAAAACGGAACGATGAGTTGAAAAAATGTCAACGTCCAATGAAAGTATTTTAATGCAGAAAAAGATTTTGTAGCGACAATGAATATGTTATCGTATCGGGTAAAATACAACACCAGTAGTGATATGTTGCAGCAATTTTTAAAAAAAATTCTGTTCAGTTCTTACAGTTTTTTTGCTACATATCGTTATTGAATAGGATAAGCTGGAAGATAAAAGTGTTTGGATTATGAGTTATTCTCAGTTTTTTTAACGATTTTACAAGAAGTACTGTCAAGTATGAATGAATGCTTAACGGAAGAAGACAAAATGACTAATGGAGTTCCGATTTTATTTGGTTTAAAGAACAGAAAAAAAAAAAAAAGGAATATTCAATGAGATGCTGAATTTCGGTGGTGATAACTATTACAGTTGATGTACAATTTTTTGATTAGTGTAATCATCAACAGTTTCAATTTGCAATTATATATCAAAAAATGTGAATGATAAATACGTTGGCAATAAAACTTTTTTTTTTTTTTTGTTTTTCTAAATGTTAACAAAAAATTATGTTAGCTTAATTTTGAAGAATGAAAACCTTAAATTAATTTTAAACACATTAATACATATATAGGCGAAATTTTTGCTAATTTGTTGATTGACATTACTGAGTATGCGCAAAGTATAATTGGCATGAAAAATTGTTCTAAAAGCAATCAGTTTTTTTGGCAACTAGTTTTCTCAACTAAATAACATTAGTGAACGGAATATAAGAAAACCGGTAGATGCTCTTAAGGATTTATATAATTTTTTAGGCTTGTAAACTTCGGTGATTCGGTTCAGTCAGTTTATTTATTTGGCAACTGAAAGTTCATCAAAGGGCCCGTGGATCAGTTTTTTTTTGAGCCTTTTCAACAATAAACAGGTTTTTTTTATTGGCCAAAAACTAACAGTCAACTAACCAGTAGACGGCGAATATGACCAATTAACTGTGGACGAATGGTCAAAAAAAGGTTTTTTTTCCCTTCCACATCAAAATTATGACTAAAATTGTTTCTCCGTATGTTAGAAAAAAAATTTACTTTACATTAAAAGTGTTCTAAATTTTTTTTTTTCTGTTTTTTCTTCTAAAATGTGGGAAAAAAAAAGCGAAGGGAAAAAAAATATAGAATTTAGGTAACTTATTCAGTTATATTTCAATTGAATGATTAAGGGAGGAAAAGTTTTAAATTCTCAACGTTTATATATATTTTTCCTTTCCCCTCTCTTTTTTCTTTGGTTGGGTGAGGGAGAATGAGTTTTGCTATTCAAAAAATTTTGAAGCTATTCTCCAATTTTTTTTTTTTTTTTTTTTTTTCGAGAAGAGGGAGAGAGGAGGAAATGGAGAATGAGGGAATAGAAAAGCGATAAGTGTGAGGACGAGGGAAAAAGTTAAATTATAACTAAATTTCAAGGAAATTATGGTATCCGTCTGAAGTAATGTTCCGCATGTCATATGGTGTATTTGTCAGAAGAGCGATTTTTAACCTTTATGCAGTAATTTAAGGGAAAAGAATTTGTTTAAGTTAAAATTTTAACAAAAAAGAAAGCTTTTTTTGTAAAAATGTAAGAAATAATCGCTTAAACTGTTCAACTTTTGATTTTTTTTTTAATGTTTGGGGAAAAAAAAAAGAAGATTAAAATATGCAAAAAAATATGGAGTATTTTTTTTTTTT